CATCTTGGTATCTTGTGCAAACGTCCTTCACCACCCCATGCTCTACCGCCCTCGCTTTGCTGGTTTGAAGTGTATAAAGAGAAGGAGAAAGTTTTGCCTGGCGCTGCAGTCTTGATCCTGCGTGGTCAGGCTGTAGTCCGAGTTCGAACTTGTCTGTTTCTGTCTTTCTCTTTTACCTGTTAAATTTGCTCTTCTCTAACCTTTGTCTTTTCTCTAATAAACTTACTCTTAGCTTTTACAGGTTTGAGGTCAGTGGTTCTTGTTGGGCACGACTCCGTAACAGTAACTCCTGACATGGACGTGTGCTGCAGGACGACGGGAAACCTGTTTGAGAGCGGCTTCTGGAAGACCCTCTGCCAGGCCGGTGACGCACTTTGCTGACCTCTATGCAGTCTCCTTCCATCGACCTGCTTTACTGCCCACGCAGTTACCCAAGCTGCTGCCTCATGAAATCGACCGTGAAGCGCACCCATGCTGATATTAACGCAATGCTAGTGGTATCTAGAAAAATGTCTTTTTAAATTAGTCGTCAATATTTAATGAACATTTTTATTTTCTTGGCCTTTAAAACGATTTGTTTGAAATAATCATTCTGTAAATTACATTGTTATTTATCCTTATGCTTTCTCAGTCAGATTTTTATTACTGTAAAACAAGCTTCATGTTCATCAGAAGTGAAAATGTCACCAACTACCCAAATAATACATTCTGGTTCGACTAGCATAACTTTATTACGTTTAAAAATACCCACCCCCACCATTCTTTTACTGTATGAAAAACCCTTTCATTACATAGCATTCAAATCCACATATGTAAAAATTATGAACTGTCAATCATAGAATTAAAAAGAAGTTAACTAAAATACAAACTTTAGGATTTTCTCCTGACCCCAGTATGATCTTAGTCTTTTATTGCTGTGACATTTGATTATCTGGATTTTTTTGCTTTCATTTTTTATTTGGGAAAGGGCAATAGATTCACTTTTCATGATTTCATGACTTGGTCGAACAACCTCATTGAAGCATATCTCAGGTGTACCCAGACTCGCCCCTTTGGAATGTACAGTTCGCTGTGCACCAGCAGGTTCACAGAGTGCTGCCGCCGTCACGAGATCTGATCTGAGAACATTCTCATCATTAGCGGTCATCTCCCATTCTTACCTTTATCTCACTCCCAACCTCAGGCAACTAGTTAGTCTGTCTTTATAGATTTGCCCATTCAGGACATTTCATATCACTGGAATCATGCATTATGTGGTATTGTGTGACTGTCTTCTTTCCTTAGCATATTTCCCCCCAGACCTATCCATAGTATGAAAACCTAACTACTGCCATCGAGTCGATGCTGACCCTTAAAGGCCTTCTAGGACACAAAGGCCCTATAGGACACAAAGGCCCTATAGGACAAGGCCCAACAGCCCTTGTGTTTCTACTCTTTAAGGGAGTAGAAAGTCCCCGTCTCTCTCCCCGGGAGCAGCTGGTGGTTTGGAACTGCTGAGTTTGCAGTGAGCAGCCCAACGCGGAACCCCAGGGTTCCTAGCCATCACGTATAGGATGCTATCCATAGTGGAGCACGTACTTAGTTCTATTTATGCTGAATGACATTCCATTGTCTGGATAATATTACATTTTGTATCTATGTATCCCTTGATCAGGATTTGGATTGTTCCCACTTTTCGGTTACTCTAAATAATACTACTATGGGTATTCAAGTATGTTTTTGTATATCTCTTGTAAGTCTATGCCTAGGAATGGAATTACTGGTCTACATGTAACTGTATTTAACTGTTGAAGAGTTGCAAGACTGTCTTCTGAAGAGGTGGAACCATTTTCATTCTTACCAGCAATGTAGGAGGGTTCTAAAATTTCAAATTCTTACCAGTATGTGTTGGTATCAGTCTTTTAAATGTAGCCACCATAGTGAGCATGAAGTGCAATTTCATTGTGGTTTTAATTTGCATTAGCCTAATAACAATGATGTTTACCGCCTTGTCATGTTTTCATGTGCTTAATGGTCATGGGCATATGTATTTTTTGAGAAACGCCTTTTCAGATATTCTGCCATTTAGGTGAAGCGCAGATCCGTTTCCTTTCTAGGTTAACCTCGCTAATTCCATCGCTCATGAAGCTACCCTCTTCCTCTGTGTGGCAGTCCGTCAGCATTGCTCTTAATGCGCAGTCCGTATCTGGTCGCTGCATGGCCTCTTCCTTTAAGGAGGAAAGAAGGCTTCTGTGAATGGTAGGACGACGAGGTGAAATAAAGGAGGAGTGAGAGAGCAATTCACCAACACGCCCACTCCAGGAGGAGAACGCATTCTCATCTGGAGAGTAAAATTCGAGAGACTGAGTCAGTGATGTGTAGTGAGTGGAGAGGTCATTGTGCCAAAGGCCATTCATCCAGTCTGCGTTTCTTCCTGCTTCTCTCCTAAGAGGATGCTGTGGGAAGGGGTAGAGGGGACTAAGTCCTCACCCGGAATTCCTATGGCCACTGCAGCTTTACTTATGTTCTTTTATAGAGGCAGAGACTAGGAGCAGGCACCTGGGCACCAGAAAAAACAAGTCTGTTCCCATGAGTTGCTTTTGACTTATATCGGCCCTATACGCCAGAGTAGAACTGCCTCCTGGGGGTTCAAAGACTGTAGTCTTCACTGAAGCAGACTGCCACCCCTTTTGCCTGTGGAGAATGGTAAGTCTAACTGCTGGCCGTTTGATTAGCAGTTGAGTGCTTAAACACTACGCCACCAGGGCTCCTTGGGGAAATGGACACAGATCCCACTATTACTAAATCATTTGTTTTCCTTTTGTGTGCCCTTCCTATATGGGCAGAAGATAGGGTGAGTAGGTTTGTGTATTCCTAGAGTTTCCAGTCAAATTATCATTAAACCTCTATATGTCTAATTGTATCATTAATCCTGAGTTAATGCTCCTTGTACACTCTATAATAAGCCCACTGAGTCTACTCTGACTCACAGAGACCCTACAGGACAGAGTAACACTGAACCTTACAGTTTCAGATTGTTAATCTTAATGAATTCAGACAGTTACATCTTTTCCCCACAGAGCTTATGACAGGTCTGTACTGTCAACCTTGTGTGTGGATAGCAGCCCAATACTCAACCCACTGTGGACATGACCTATGAAGTTCTTCATTCTGTAACAATCTCCACTTTTTACCCCTTATGCTGGGTTGAATAAAGACTTTCAAAGATGCCCACACCCTAAGGCCTAGACCTTGTGACTGTGGGACTATGGAAAGAGTAGTTGAGTGGTTAAGCAATTGGTTGGCAACCAAAAGTTGGTGTATCAAATGCACCAGCAATTGAGGGAGGAAAATTTGACAGTCTGAGTCTGTGACTCCATAAAAGAATACAGCGTGGTGAACCCCATGGGAACCCTACACTGTCCTATGGGATCACTACGAGTCAGAATTGAATGGAAAGCAATGTGTTTTGATGTAAAGTAAAGGCAGATGGGGATATTATGCAAGATTACCTATGAGGACACTATGCAAGATTAACAATGTGGATCCATTGTTATCATGAAGAGAGTTAAAAGAAGGAGGTGAGAGGGCCAAAGAGAACATGCTGGGTTAGAAAGAAGCAGTGGTTCAAAAGGAGAAGAGGCCAGGCTGTGGTTTTGACGATGGAGGAAGGGTTAAGAGCCCAAGAACATAGTCTGCTTCTGCTGCTGGAAGACAGGGAAACAAAATCTCCCCAGAGTCTCAAGGGGAATCAGCACTATTGATGCCTGACATTACTACTGATGACTGACATTTTGTGGTTATTACACATTTGATCTTCAGAACGTCACAAAATTTATAATAGTTTATTACAGCGGATGATTTTTTTGTTGTTGTTGCAGAAAACAAACACTTCCATTTGCTATAAGGTGGGATAAACAATATGGAGGAGAAAACAACAGTATCCATGGTTCCAGGAGGACATGGGAGAGGGGAAGGCAGGGGGAAGGAAGTGGGTGTTAACAAACCCAGGGACTAGGGAACAACACGTAATCTAAAATCTATGGCGAGGAGAGTGTAGGAGGCCTAGTAGGGTTTGATCAAGGGCAATGTAACCAAGAGGAATTACTGAAATCCAAATGAAGGCTAAACATGATAGTGGGACAAGAGGAAAGTAAAAGGAAATAGAGGAAAGAACTAGGAGGCAAAGGGCATTTATAGAGATCTAAACACGGGCAGGTACATATGTAAATATATTTTTACATGACAATGGGGAAATAGATCTATGTGCACACATTTATAGGTTTAGTATTAAGGTAGCAGATGGACATTGGACCTCTACTCAAGTACACCCTCAATGCAGGAACACTTTGTTCTATTAAATTGGCATTCCATGATGCTCACTTTCCCCACACAATCGCTGAAGACAAACTGGATGCATAAGCAAATTTGGTGAAGAAAATTGATGGTGCCGACTATCAAAAAATATAGTGTCTGGGGCCTTAAAGGCTTGAAGATAAACAAGCGGCCATCTAGCAGAGAAGCAACAAAGCCCACATTGAAGAAGGACACCAACCTGTGTGATCACGAGGTGTCCATGGGATCTGGTATCAGGCATCAAAGAACAAAAGTATCATTGTGTGTTTATCTCCCTGATAAGATCACTGAAGACAAATGGGTGCATAAGTCAGGGTAAAGTATAGCACTGATGAAACATACAACTTTCCTCTAGTTCTTTAATGCTTCACCCCCACTATCATGATCCAAATTCTACCTTACAAATCCAGCTAGACCAGAGGATGTACACTAGTACAGATAAGAGCTGGAAACACAGGGACAGATGGGACTATAAATCCCTCAGGCCAATAATGAGAGCAGGGATACTAGGAAGGTATGGGAAAGCTGGAGGGAGAAAGGGGAAACCAATCTCAATGATCTACATATAATCTCCTCCCTGGGGGAGAGACAACAGAAAAGTAGGTGAAGAGAGACATCGTGAAAAACAAGATAAATAATATTCATTTATCAAGGGTTCATGAGGGAGGGAAGTTGGGGATCGGAAAGGGGAAAAATGAGCTGATACCCAGGGCTCAAGGAGAAAATGTTTTGAAAATGATGGCAACTAATGTATAAATGTGCTTGACACAATGAATGTAGTATGGATTGTGAAAAGAGTTGTACGAGCCCCCCCCCCAAATGATTAAAAATGAAAATGACGTTGTTTCCCTCACCTTTGTCATGTCCTTAAGGTAAACATCGATAAAGACTCTCGGTTTGTTAGGATCCCAGTCTTCCTTGTGTTTTTGCAACTATATCAGAAACAAAGAATTTTAATTTCTCCTGGTTTCTGAAGAATGTTTGGTGAGGTCTGTGAATGAATCTCATTATCCATGGATAGATATTTAGAGCTGATTGATAAAAACAAAACCATCGTGGGGATAATATGCTGCCACATTTCCACATTTATCATAACAAGCAATCTTTTTTTTTTTTTTTGCTTACACTTAACCTTGGGTTCATCCTTGACTCTTTTTCTCTCATTATTCTAGAAAAACATTTCAGTTCTGTTTCCAAGATAGGTTCAGCCTCACATCACTTTTTACAACTCCCAACTGCTTGCTATAATTCAGAACATCTAGTGGGTTGTGGGCCCAGGTAAATAAGATTTCCTATGTCTTGATAGTTGTTGGAGCTGACTGAATAGGTATATTCACTGCCATCAAGATGATACTGCCTCATAGAAACCCTAAGAAGGGGGTTAGAACTGCCCCGTGTGGGTTTCTGAGACTATAACATCTTACAGAAGTAGAAGCTCCATCTTTCTCCTGCAGAGTGGCTGGTGGTATTGAATTTCAAACCTTGTGGTTAGCAGTCCAATGCATAACCACTATGCCACCAGAGCTCCTTGCTAAGTATGTCATGACTCATTTTCCTTCTGCTTTTATATATGCTTGTAATTTTCAAAAAGCCCATGTGTTTGTTCTCAATGATGTAATTTACCAATTTTGATAATGGCAGACTGAATGGTTTTACTAAAGTCCATATTGAGAACACCAGGGTAAGATTAATAACCCCCTCCCCCACAAACACACACATGTGTGTGTTCTGGTGTGTGTGTATGTGTGTGTATTCTGATATACATTTGTATATGGGGATGTGTGTTCTGATAAAGGAGTTCTGGTGGCATAATGGTTATGCATTGAGCTGGTAACTACAATGTCAGCAGTTCAAAACCATCACCTACTCCTTGGGAGAAAGATGAGTTTTCTTGGAAACCCTGTAGGATCAGCATGAGTCATATATATATATATATAATCTCCATATGTTCAGCCTCTCTGAGTTCCTTTCTTCCCCTAGACTTTATCTCTGACATCTCTACAATCTGATAGACATCTATTCCTCACTACTGTCTGATAGGATAAGATAGATATATCTTTCTTTCTAGCCTGTGTTAGGAGAAGAATGTAACCCAGAGAGGCTCACCATTTCTGCTCGCTATTCTCCAACAGTGTCTTCCAAATACCTAAATATTACTGGAAAGCCGAGAAGATGAACAGTTTCTGAAAGACTCTCAGGTCTAGTGGGACACAAGTTAGAGTTCATGACCCACCAAAGAAGGGGATGAGATTCAGAAGCCAAAGCACATCTCCCTAAGAAATTGGAAGACTCCTGATAGCAAGTGTTGTTGGGAAGCAACTACGCCTTAAAGTATGCACTGCTCAAGCTGAGGAACCAGAAGTTCCTCTGGAAGTGTTTTGACACCTTTACTTCCAGGCACATAAGCAAAAGCAATGAGTGGCTATGTCCACACTTACACTTGATCAAGAGAACCTGATTCAGGATCACCATGAAAATATGCTACTTAGAAGTTGCTGAGATTTTCCAGAAATGCAACAGAGAGTGAGCAAAGAAGAGATTTTGCACTTCGTGTTAAAGGTCTCCCTGGATATTATGTAGAAATCCTGGTGGTACAGTGGTTACCCTTTGGGCTATGAGCTGCATGGTCAGCAGTTGGAAACCAGCAGCAGCTCCTTGGGAGAAAGACTGGGCTTTCTACTCCCATAAATGGTGACGGTCTCAGAAACCCACAGGGGGTTGCTATGAGTCAGCATTGACTCCACGGTAATGAGTCTGGTTTTCTTAATAGATGATACGTTAATTGGAATAAAATGTTAGAACAAATTAGAATAAAATATGTTATTTAGAAAATATTTTATTAGGAATAAAAGACATGTTAGACTTTAAATAAGAATTGTTATAATGTGTCTCACTGAAGAGAGTGGAATTGCATAAGAAGAGGGATTGTGTGGGCTCCATCATCTGCTTAAGCTTTTGTGCCTGCACCGTGCTTCACGTGGCAGGTAATTTACAAATATACTGAATCAATGTGGAGGGAAAGCTTGGCACGTTTCTGGGAGGAACTGGAAAGCATCTGAAAAACAAACAATTTTTGCTTTGATACAGTGACAGACTTGAGTTTTTCTTTTCAGTTTATAAATGCTTACATCTATTGAATAATGAATTAAAATATTCATGCCAACTAGTTCTAACATATCTTGGGACGCATTAGACCCCCCAATGAGCTTTCTCTGTCTGTCACAACCTTAATGATGAAGTCTACTGAACCAGAGGCAAGCGGAAGGAAGTTGATGCTTAGCAAATCCACTCCGTTTCTCAAAGAGAAGTTTGGAACGAGAAGGTAGGATGAGAAAATGTGCTGCCTCTTCCTGTGTTTACTTGATTACCAAAACAACCAGTGTGTTCCTGCCGAGAGGCAGCTTCTCTCACACCTCTGACCTGAAGGGAAACAGTGCCAAGTCCTTAGAGCGGTGCCTTCAACCGAGAACCAGTCTTATCCATGTCCTCTCACGGACAGGGATTTTATAATGACACTGCTCTCTAGGAATATTAACGAATAACAGTCACAAAGACACATTTAACATCCATAATAAGAGCAAACACCCAAATCGTCCCTAAGACAAGTAACTGATCGTTTTTCTTTAAGACGTGCTCGCAGGTAGGAGTCACAGTATGGCTCGGAACATTTTGGTGCTTGTGCACAAGAACTTCTTTGCCAAAGGTGATCCAGTTACTGCCAAGTAGGCAAGTGTCCAAAACCCATGCTACACAGGTTCCCGTATTTCTTCTCAACAGCTGAAATGTGTGCGGCGGGATTGAAGGTGCACATGTCTGTGCATCCAGGAATGAAGGGTGTCTCGCCCTTTCACGGGCCTTGCATGACAGTGGCGGTGTGTGGGTCTCT